TCGAGTATGATTTCCTCTAATTTCCTACCCCCCCCCCCCACACCCCCAAAACCAAGAGGAAGATCCGATCCTCGAATTTCGACTCCCCCCCTCGATCCTCCAATCTAAAGGGGGGGCTATTGTTCGTCACAATGCAGGCCTGCTCGGGAGTTGCGAGCAGAAGCTGCGGGAGAAACACCCTGCGGCGTTAGCGCCTGCATTGAGAAAATTGCACGAACCGACGTGACGATGAATCTACAGCGGCAAGTTTCCTGCAAGGGGCCTCCTTCCAGGCAAATGGATCCTTGATGCTGGATCCAGCCTTTTCAAAAGTAAGGTACAGATTGCAGACTTCGTAGCCACTAAAGGGCACCAATAGCAAGGGCAGGTCCCCCCCTGCCTGGGGCAGTGGAACGGTTCCGCCATACATCGGACGCGGCACGAGGCCCAGGCCCAGGAGTGACACGGACAACGACAACAATGGCCTACGAGCCTACTAATGGGGAGTGTAATTATGGGTCTGATGGGTAGGCTATGTGCGGCTAGTCGCGGCTACTCGGTAGCAATACCAGTCTTGGGCTAATCGAGCGGCGATCGGGGAAAACTACGAGTCTCTCTTACTTCGAATGCAAATGCTGCCTTCCAAATCCGAACTTCCAAATGAGCCACGCATGCTCTCTCGCAACCATGCTAGCCTGGCTGTCGAAGATCAACGCAGGGTGGTCAGACTGTCTTCGATTGCACACGCTATTGCCGTGGTATCTGCGCAGCACAGACAGACTTTCCGTCTCCAACAGGCTGCATCGTGCATGCCATGCTCCCTGGCAGTACTTGCGGATTGACGGCTGAACTCCCGCTTCAGCCGGAATCTACAGCAGCAAATTAAAAGTGCTGTGCATTGCTGTGCACTGGTCGAGAATCATCTCAGTCTCACAGCCGGCTGCACGAATACCTCAATCCAGATGCCACACTACAATGCGAAGCAAATGTAGAAACATGCAGCATCAACCAAGCCCGACACGTCAATATGGATCTTTTAGTCGATGTCTTCGATGATATCTCAGAAGGGAAGCGTCATTTGCGTACTACAGAAATTTCTGATGCATGCACGCGTGACCGGCTAAACTCCGACATGATGCCCCCTCCCCTGCACCAGCCTGCACCAGATCACGACAGTCCAGCTTCTAGTTTTCTACGCCTTCTGCATCTTGGACATCCGCAGTCTCCACGACTGCGGGTATCATGCGATTTGCGTCCTTACTGCGACCTGCTTTAGAGTGTTCTTGTGTGCTCTCGGTGCTGGCGTCGCGAGCATTGGATAGGTGGGCTGGCCGATTTTGCGAAGAACTCTGACAATCCGACGGAGGCCGCGAGGTTGAAAAAGAAGCGAAGCGAATCAGAAAGCTGAAGCATACTGAAACGAGACAAGAATAGGTGAAAAAGCTTGAACGGCTGAGGCATCAAGCTTCGTGGAGGGCTGACAGCATCCATCAGCTGTGTGCCTGTGTAGATTTCCTTGGTGGCGCCTGACTGATGTAGCAGTCCTTCTCTGCTAGTCTCTACCTCTCAGCGGATGACAGGGTTGGCCATTCCTTGCGAGCCCCGCGAGCCCGTAACTCCTAGATGCCGAAGGTGGGATGGCTTGCACGACGACTCCACACGAAGAATGGTTAGCGAATTGAGGTTGATGTTCGCGCAGTTGTACCGATGCGCGAGGCGGTCGGCCGGAATCGAGCTTCGCTGAAGAGGCCGGTTGGGGGGCCGCTGGAGCAACGCAACAATCTGCCTGCCCACACTCGAAGACCGCTGCGCATGTCAAACGAACCCCAAAATGTCATTCGGAAGCCACGTGCCCGTTTCGGCTCACTCCTTAAAACTCCCTCGAGAGAACAGACATCGAAGAGCTCGGGTTCATCAAGAGACGCTGAACTGGCAATTGTCGCGCTGCCCGGACATTTTCCTGAAATAGTCAAAGTTATAAGGGGGCGCGAGTAGAGTTGACTGGACCGGATGCTGCTTCCAGCTTAATGTTGTCAGTCGCGCGCTGGAGTCAGCACTTCTCTTGCCCATTCTGCAAACTCCCGCTAGTTCGATCCTTTACTTGATCATTGCAGCCACCGGATCAGATGCAGGGAGAACAAACCAAAGCTGCAGACCCCGCCTGCGCTCTCCAGCGGCACTGCAAGTCCACATCGCTGACGCTTGGTTCGACAGCCTCGACCGACATGCCAGTCCCAAGATGACGTCGATGGCAGCTGCAGCCGCCTTCCGTGCCCCGGGGTATTGCAGACGAGCCTCTGTGGAAGCCAACGAAACATAATGAAATACAATCAACAACACCAAGGAAGGCACTGTTTGCAAGGCCCAGGGCGGCGGCCGGCTGCCACTACACCAAGCTTCTCAATGTCGTGCCGCAGCCTTTACTTTGACCCTCCATGTGATGCTCTCCTTCACTTAGTTCTGCACCTCGACCGTTCCTTCGCTGCAGAGGTGTAGATGGCCTGCCAGTCCTCTGCAACTCGTGCGGTGTCTTCGACGGAAGCTTGAAACAGCGAGGCCCCTGTGGTTCCTGAGACTCTCGATCCGAACACGCGGAGCAGAAGGATGCAAGGCCTTCCAGCACAGGCCAAGAGACCATCCTTCCACTGAAAAGCCGCAGGAGGCAGGAGGAGGGCGCGGACGTGCTCTCTGCACGAGAAGACCTTCGGGGAGCCCTGGCACGCAATCCATGGACAACATTGGACAACTATTCAAGATTTTAGCCAGAGACGCCTTCTCGATGAAGCTTTCGACTCGACTTTGACCTGTCGACTCTGCCGCGTCTGCAGAGCAGGCACTCTCAGTCATCCGAGTCTCAAGCCTATTCCAACAGCCACAAAGCTCGGCAAAACGGTTCAAAACCCAGGCCACCTGACAGAACAGGCAGATCGGCTGGCCCGCCCAAGTGCCCCAAAATGCCCGCCGTCCTCTGATGCCATGGCCACTCGCCGAGGCTCTGGAGCAAAGGCGAAGTTGCTACCCTCGGCGGCTTTTGCGTTGAAAGGTCACCCGAACCATCGTATCACCCTCTCAGGTCCTGTCCGATGGCTCAGTTCCAGAAAGGGCAGCAAGAAGTGCCTCCAAGCGGCCAGCACGACGAGAAATTCTGCATCGGGGCACCAGAACTTCAACCCCAGCATTTTCTCCCTCGGCTCCTGCGGAAGTGTGCATAGCATTCTCGGATCCCCATCCACTCCAAGGGCTGCTCTTTCCTGCGTGTTCAACAACCTCCCACTGGCCACCGCGAGAAGACAAGAGGCTCAGGACAAGACCAGGCAGAGTAGGGCCAATGGACGCCAAAGGCAATGAAGCCACCACTCCCTCGGAGCATCCAAACAGCTCGTGTTGCTTGTGAAACATATTGCTGGTGAACCGAGCCAGCAGCGTTGCTGCATCAACGCCTTGCGCACAGACACCCACACATGACCCCACATGACTGCGGGAACCCTGCGGACAATGCCTTCCGCGCTGGAGAGCTCCCGGCTCACGAATCTGACAGCACCTTGGGAAAACACGCAGACCTTGCCAGTGGCCAGTCGAACAAGGCCGAACATACCAGAAGAATCCTAAGTCCCTGGGAACCATGTGCCACAACTACTGCAAGGTTGGTATGTGTGCCTGTGCTGCAGAGGCAACGGCGTGACAAAATCATAGAAGGCATGGAATGAGAAGCCTGACAGAGATGCATTCATGGCACGCAGCACGGCAAGACATGTTGACCAATGTGTCAGTTGAGGCTTCGGCTGCTAGTTCTGGTAGCTGCCACATGTCAAAGAACAAGAAGCCCTTGGCAGCAACGGCCAGCACCTCATGTCAAGATGAGGCCAGATGCAAAGACTAGCCAGGTACTGAAACAGTATGAATGCAACTGTGTCAGATGTTTGGGAGTTTAGAAACACATGCGTGATTGAGGAGCCAGGCATCTCAGATTCTAGACTAGACGCAGCAGCCCTAACCAACCGGAGTTGTGACAAAAGCCGTATTGTAACAGCAACGACACGATAAGATCCATGCTCTCGCGTGTCACGGCCTGATTGCAACCTTGTGGTCGGCTTGATCTAACGCCATTTCAGAGTTTCCGCACCCGAATCCAGCAACTGTTCCGGCAGCACACATAAATTAACTCCCGTCACCCCGGAGTCCTGATGTTTACCGTGCCCTCAGATGAGCGGCCTCCAAGTGGCAGGAGGAGAGTCGCCGCAAAGATGCGAAGAATCTTAGCAGCCGTCCGCTCAACACAGCCGCCTCAAATGTGTCACAGCTGCTATGAGCACTGCTGCGCTTCCATCTTGCAAGACAAATGCTGAGAGCTCCGCCTCCAAACTGCGGGAAGGTTCGATGAGATCGGCTTCTGCAAATGCGTTCTGCAGCAACCAGGCAGCCACCCAGCAATACGCTGTCGACGCGTTTTGAATGCCTGCAGCGATATCAAATCACATCTCAATCGCCTCTTGTAAAGTCTTGATGCTGAGCACGTCCGAGCCTCGAAAAAGGAGAAGGGTACAGAAACGCGAAGCGAGTGCTTCACGCAGGGAGTGGCTTCCACGCTGGCCTCAGCGTCTTAGGGTCCCTTGCAGTAATGAGCTCTAAAAGCCAAGCTAGTCCCTTCTGCCGGGCCTCCCAGGCCTGCTAGAAGGGGGGCTATGTGCTCACATATCTCGTCTGAATGGTCCTCTACAGGCCAAAGCTTCGACTTCCTTCAAACAAATGATGTTCGATTCGAGTCTGCGTCTGCTTTGGCCAGACGGTGTCCTGGATATGAGCGCCGAGGTTGCCGGTCTCGGGATCACACGAGTCCCAGGTTTCCAGGTCATGAAGGAACAGCGTATCGATGAGAAAGGACACGGACGTCTGGATTATGTCTTCCGCTGCTGCAGCGGCATGAAGGTGGGGATGCACGGATGACAGAACTTCCGGGACGTACCGCCCGAGCACCGAGTGAAAAAAACATCGGTGCTGCACAGCCGTTTCCAGAGAGACCGATGCATGCAGAGCAATGCACCGGATAGCTTGGGCACGCAACGTCGGCCAGGAGGTTGAACCAATACCAGACGGGATGGAGTCGACTAGCATCAGGGCCTGGCGAAGGACATCTAAAGGAAAATCATCCTCGAGATCGGCCTCTCTGTAAGACAGAAAAGCCTCACAAACACAGAGAATGCGTGCAAGGTGTGATCCCAGTGCAGCAAAGGCATCCTCTGCTTTGCACTCTGCTTCCTCCCGCTGCTCCTGCAAGTGTTCCATTTCCTGCCTCAGCGGATAAGCAGCCACGAAGTTTCTAGCGCCGGCGAGCTGCTGACACCTGGCGCGAAGTTCTTGAATTCTTTGCTGCAAATTGCAGACCGCTGCCCCATATGCTGCGATATCCTTGGTGATTTCGGACAAGCCACCGTCTTCGTTGTGGAGTTCTGCTGACGGAAAACTGGCTTTGGCTCTCGCCACAAGCACGCGAAGCACCGTCTGAATGGACTCTGACAAGGCTGACTCCACTTGATTGTTGCTTCGCTGGCGTGTCCTCCCTTCCGAAGCTGAAGATTGCAGAGACTGTCGGGCCAGCAGGACGGCTAATCGAAAAGGATCTGACGCCACGTTCTGCACGCATTCTTCAGCAAAAGCACTTCCACGAGACTGTCTTGGGGAAGCCTCCCCAAGCGGACAGCGCAACAGTGTCGCAGTTGCTATCTGCAATAAAGTTTTTGCTGCCACCTCATCGCAGATAGTTGCATTGAGAAGGACCATGAGAAGCTGACGCAGTGCGGAAGTGTTGCCAGAGTCCAGGGCCTCCAACGTTTTCCGAAGCAGCAGAGAGCCCTTCAGAGCGTCAGTAAGATTCCAAACGCCCGGATCCATCGAGATAGCAACACGGCCGAGCATGATCTGTGCTTTGTCCAGAGTCTCACCATGCAAGAGAAGCCGAACAGCCTGTTCCCCAACATACACGAAATCCCCACTGTCCAGGCTGTCCCTCTCCAGGAGCCTGTGCAAGATGGCCTCAACCAGCGTTTCAGTCTGCTCGTTCTGACAAGGAAGGGCGACAAAAAAGTGCTCGATTAGCTTCAGCACACGAGATGTCGCACCATGATCTTCATGATCCTTGCTCTCCTCACCATCTACAGGTGCAAGCCATGACCGGAGCATGGACTCACATTCTCGCCGCACGCTTGCATCTGTATCCACCAAACCTTGCCTGAGTAAGCCACGAAGCCTTGGAGAAGAAAACGGACACGTCATGCCAAAAAGACTGAATAAACTGCATCGAACTCGTGGAGAGATGTCCATGGATCGATCCATCAGCATCTCCATTAGGTGCGGTTCCAGGGCCAATGCATGGTTTGCCTCATGACCAGGGCACAGGCGAGCACACAGTCAAGCAAAAAGATGCTGGAAGCAAGAATCTCCAGAAGTGACAGAAGTGGAACTACCGGCCTTCAGGAAGCTCAGAGCTTTGAGTGCCTCGAAACGTACCTTGCACACCAGGTCACTACACGTCATCTCAACCAATGCAGCAATCGCTGCTCGTGTTCCCAACGATGCCAGGCACGGGATCGCGAAGCCTCTCACAGCGACTGCCTTGTCAGCAGCCAGCTGAAGAAAGCAAGCCTCTAGACGTTTGCCATGACTTGCAGGTGCGATCTCCAGCATGTTCTGGAGCAGCAAAGCGCAATGTTGTCTTACAAGCTTTGCTCTGGGAGCACCGTCTTCGAACATGCCCAGCAGGGCATTCATGGGAGCCAAGCACCTTGTTTGTACTGCTGCCTGTGCTAGCAGGTCAAGAACGGCTTGAGCTCCAACCGGCTGACTTCCCGCGAACTCCATCTTCCTCAGAACTGCCAGCACAGCTGTCCTTCACACAAGTTGAATTTGGCGGCGCTTGGATAGGGTTTATGACTGCATGACTCCCTCGCGCCATGACGTGTCCTAAGCGTGTCATCAAGCTGATTGGGATAGTAGTCGGCGACAGCCTTACCGCCAAGCCACTTCTCTCAACTGCAACCCGTGCACGCCCACAGAGCCCGAGCCGGCTGCCAGCAGACGTGCGAGTGCATCACGTTGTGTACACTTCTCCGGCGTTGAGCACTCCGCGACGATCTCCAAGATATGTGCCATATGCGGCCACAAGCTTCGAGCTTCTTGCACACCTCCATAATGCAGAACCGGAATCAACACAGATCATGTATGAGACCTCAATCGCCCTCGAAACTCTCAATCTCAGCCGGACCTTCAGCACGCTGCATCTTTGCGAGCTGGTGTCTGGCTACTCACTACAGCTTCCGCGAGCCATTCGTAAAGCAAACGCCTGCAAGCACGTACCGCCCACTTCATGCAAGCTTGGACTTATGCTGCAACGTCTGTACTACCTTTCACAAAAATAAAATACTACTGGGCGCTAGTCTGTCGAAGCCCGTCGCGTCCTATGCTGTTCGGTTTACAGCCCGAACCAGAACTGCAAAAGGTCCAGACTACCAAGAGTACAACAGTGTGCAGAAGCTACGCCCATACTTCTTCCTTGATCTCTGGATCGGTGAAGGCTCCGAGGGGAAGCTGAACACCAAGCTGTTCGCATGCATTGGCTGCCAGTGCATGAACTCGTTGTCTTGGCAAATTGTAGAGGGTCAGCTCTTCATAAAGCTGCACGACCCATGCCCACTCAGATGCATCGCTGCAGCACTTTAGCGCCGTTTCATAGCTGTCGCCATTGGGTGCCAGGTCCTCATTACAGATCTCACTCAACAGGTCCAAGACTTCTTGCCAATGTCCTGCCCTCGCGCAGTAGGCCTTCATGAGCTGATTGTATGCATCCAGCGAGACAGGCAATTGATGACGCTTCGCTTCCAGATGTGCCTGAACCGCAAATCTCCATTGTCGGCTTCGACAGAAGGCAGACCTTTGAGCTGGAAACACTGCTGGCAGCTTTGCAGCTTCAGACAGGTCAGCTGTCTGCCATGATGTCTCCAGTACTTCTAGTGACATTGCCCAGTTTCCCTCCATGGACTCGCAAAGAGACGCCGCAGCAACGTGCGCCCTCGGCAAGCGCCTGAGTCCACGAGCTCGCATCCGCATGACATGGCCCAACGCACTAGGCCAGTCGAGTTCACATGCCACCAGAGCCGCACATGTGCCGTCGTATGGCCTGATTCGCCCTGCCTGCATTTGACCGAGCAGCTGAACGGCCAAATCTCTCCGTTGAGCCTCTGCTGACTGCTCTTGTTTCTTGGAGCAAGCCCAGATAGCCGCAGTGAATGCTGCTGCCCGGGCTTCCAAGCCATTGGCCTTCATTACATCCAGCAGATGAAGTGCTTGTTGCCATTCAGGACCTTTGCCACAGGAGGCAATGGCTTTCGTGAACGTCTTTTCATCCAAACGCGCCCGCAGCTTCAGGTCCTTGAGCCATTCTACCTCAGGGAGCACAGCTGTTCGGAAGAAGATCCCAGCTACATGTTGCCTGGTTCGCGTTCGATTTCTTATGCCTAGTAGTAAAACCTGATTGTCTTCGGTAGAACAGCTTTGCTGTGTGTTCAATCCAAAACCGGGCAGCAAGACCACAGAGTTAGCGAACCTTGTAGCACTAGTGCCATGGGTGACTACAGCAAAATCACATGGAACAGCCAAGATCTGCAAGCAGCACCAACAGCTCCGTGGTCCCGAAGCCGCCAGGTGGAAGCTGGATCAGCGCTCCGCCTCCACGACGTACCGCGACCTGCTGCGTCCAGTGCCAGGAGTTGCGGTTGAGCTCCGGCTCCATGCGTAACCTTTACGGCATTACCGTCTGGATGCCCGGGCCATTGCAAGGCAAGCCCCGGATGCTCCAAAAGCATCCAGCCAGTACGAGACGGTGCTTCAAAGACACTCTGCTGTTCTGCTACTTTCTCTGCTTTGCCCGGCGGGCATGAAGCTACAGCTGCACATGTCTCTTTACCAGACCACAACATGACCATTGAACTGAACGAAGCACTAACGTTCTGCACTGTGTACTGGGATAGACTTAGCTGCACATGTTGCTCCGTGCCTGTTGGCCTGGTTACTTAAGCCGGTCTCCCAGCGAAATGCCACAGGCGTTAAGGCTTGCATTAACTACAGAGTTTGACATGTTCGTCAGCTTCCATCCCTGCGGACTCTAGCCAGTTCAAGTATGGCTGCCCCGTGTTTGTGCCAGCTGTGAACAGTGCTTCCTTCACGCAAAGCGACAGTCCAAATCTGCTGGGCTGTGAGAAAACCACCTACCTATTGCAGCGAAATGACAAGTGATTCACCTCTCACAAATGGCTTCGGCTTTGTAAAGCTCCAGACGCATCTGCTACAGGTGCGATGTGCTGCTGCATGACTGTCTATGCTCATCTCCGACTGTACGTCACTATGTAGAAATCTTCACGACCACTAAACGTTCTTATGTGCGTATCTTTATGGTGCTGCCGTCCTGTAGATATATAGCTTCTATGCGTGAACCTATGAATGATACGCTTCTATGTAGTGCAGCGGCTACGCGCCATGAAGGCAGGTTAACGCGCAGGCTCTGGAGCTTTTGTTGCATCCTGTCTCTCGCCTCTGGAACACGTGGACAGCTGCTGACGCTCACTCGTTCTGCAAGAGTGAAACATCCATCGTGAGGACGCGGCACAACGAACTGAAGTACTCGCGCGCAAACTGATAGAAGACCTGAGCAATGGCGACAGGCTCAAAATGATTGAAGATCATAGTGCTGCAATGGACTGGAAGTTGGGCACAGCACACCCACATCCATTGGACCATCCCAAAGCTCATCGGCCTCCAAAGGAAAAAAAAGACTGCTCAGCAAGAGAAGGGCTGTCGGATGACCTGCCTCTTCCCTGTCCACGGAGTCAATTCCGCAGTGCCGGCATACGTGGTTCCTGACATGCATCAACAAAAGCTGGAGAACGGACTCGGGCCCAAGATTTTCTGAGCTGCATGCAAAGCTATCTGCAGCATCTCCACCTTGGGCTTGCTTCTGAGGTAACGTGATAACGAGCACGGGGCACAGGGTGGCACAGGGCCGCGACACTGGTCAGCTGGGATGACGTGGCATCCGACCTCAAAGTCGGTCGGATCTGCTTGGCGACACCACGCCGGTCCCAAGCTATAGGCTCGGTAGCAATCCGAACTGCATGTTGGCAGACCTCTCAAGCATGGCTGCAAATCCAACTACGCAATTTGCACTAGCAGTTCTAATCACGGTGTAGCCGGGTAGCCTCAAAGAGAGCACCATTGTCACACAAAAGCGCCTCGCAAGCGCAGGATCACACTCTTGCTCCCTGATTCCCATCACGAGCAAGGTCGCGGCGCCTGAAGCTTGCAGGCATCCACAACGTCATCTCCCTCTTCATCTCCAGGTGCTTTTGCAACGTCGTAATGCACGTATGGCATCTCGTGACGGGTCCCGGATATGTGCGCAGGCGCAGCTTCCACCGGAGACGAGAACGCACCCCATCCTTGCAAGGTACCTGCATCTGGGTTCACCTGCCATGCCCGGTCTCCTGGCTCCTCGGACTGACCGCCAGCCATGCTGACACTTGTTGGGTAGGACTCGAGTGAATGGGATGGCAAGTCTTTTTTGCCACAACGTGGCACCACGGATGTTGCTAAGGCTGCTGAGGTAGGTATGATTCGTATGAAAGCTGGGCTGCATCGAAATGGATGGACGTCCGAAAGCTTGAAAACAAGCGATCAAATGTCTCGGGGCTTGCTCAGTCACAGTGCAAGAGGAAGAAATGCGCGACGGCACCCCCGAGCGGTTTTTGTCACACCGCAATGCTCAGAACCTGTTCAATCTTTGTGAACTTGAGAAAGGTCCTCATCGTCAACGTGGGAAGAAGCCGAACCGTTGGCAAGCAAAATTCCTCGGCCTCCCGGACCGCAAGGGCTTCCAATCGCAGTAGCACTGGATCAAAGATGTGTCGATGGAAGTCGTTCAAGAACCTTGCGTCTCTGCTGCTGAAGGCTGCAAGCGCATGTTGCCAGACTTAATCCGGGTCTGCGGACTTGTCCAATGCACCACACAGTTGCTCTGACTCCTCGCAAGCATACACGATTGGGCCTTGCTGGCAGACTCAGAAAGTCCCAGGCACATTCCCACTTCCTCGACTTGCTTTCCAGCTGCCTGACCTTGTGCATCTGCCGGGCAGTTTGGCCTCGTGAATATACCGGGCGCTTTCTAAGCCTTGCGACTCAGTATGCAGATTTGGAGCTGCACTGGATTTTGTTCTTGTCGAAACCATCGCCTGTGCCTGTTTCCAACTGCCATGTCAATTTGTTGATTCCGAGGAGCCCTCTGCCTTCTACTGCAACCTGGGCAGCATGTTCAGACCTTGACCCACGCTTCCAAGTCAAATTCCGCATGGTGCGACAAAACTAGACTCGTGGAGGAGGTCAGATGGCAAGACCAGGATTTACAGTTTCAGTGAATCCTTTCAAGGCCCTGACGGTGCAGAGGACGGGATCCGGTCGACCATTCTGCTAATCACAGCCGTCCGCCCGTCTCGAACCAACCATGTATTCTCAAGAGGCCCAATGGGCCAGTGGTGAATGACATCTCAGTTATGTCTCTTCTGTGCTTGATGGCCGGAAGCTGCGCGTCAAGCAACATGGAGGATGATAACCAGAGTCTGAAACTCACTAGCGACATCTGCAAATTATGCGGTCCTCTGTACTGCGAGTGCCCACAACTTTGCATGAACACATAGTATGCTTTATCCCTCGAACCCATCTTGACGTAGTGTTGCACGGCACAGAAGACATGTAGCGAACAATTCACGACGGAGAACTTGTCGTTCCACTTGAGTTCAGTTCCAGTTCAACGTATGCACGTCATGGAGCAAATCAAGACGATCAGTGCCCAAAGTTGAAGCGGCTGCCGACAAACGGGAGCCTTTGCATAAGAGCCGGCCGTCGAGGCCTACGTGCGACAGGCTCTTGTGTCTCATCTCAGGAGGCCGAGACAATGGTGAGCGGTTGCAAATAGGAGCGGCCTCGAAATTCCTCTGTTTGGCACCCAGATTTGCCACGGAAGACGGGAAAAAGTCAAAACGGCAAAGATCCTGATGTTGCCTCGTGAAACTACAACTCCTGCCCTGCAAAACCTCAAGCCTGTATGGACATTGCTCTGTGATAGTGCAACTTTTGTACTGGAAGGCCCTTTTCTTGTTTCGATTTTCCTGCTCCTCTTCTGGAATAGTCCTGCCTAAGATTGTGCCTTGCACCAATGCAGAAAGCCCCTCTTAGCAGATCCTGAATTTTCGCTTCGTTGTAGCCCCATAGCAAGGGGAAGGCCTCCCGTATCTCCCGTGGGTCTTGTTGGTAGGTACAACAAACGGTTCAAGTGTCCTGCAAGGATTGCTCTTTTGGTGCGAATCCTGCATAGGCATTTTTCAGGGTGCACGACGCAATTCCAAATCTGCCACTAATCCCAGTGCCGAAGCATGCCGGTTTCGGTGGAAACTCATCCCTGCGGCGCGCAGTGCCACAGTTCTGCAACACGCTTCTTAAAACTGTCATCACCACGACACGAAGCCACTGATTTAGGAGTTGCTCCGTGGCTCTGCTTCACTGCAGATCTCTTCCACAAGTCCCGATGGTGCTTCGGATACAGCATGCGAGATCTGCTCCATGTCTTGCCGTTTCAAGTTTCAACGCTGCATATGGCCGCCTTTTCCGACAACTTCGGAAGCCGAGCAGCGAGCCTTTCTTCGCTCACGTAGCCTGGCCTAAGCCTAAGCAGCTTCTTCAGGACGTTACGAAACCTCAGTGCTAGCAACAAGTCACAGGAAATGGAATTTGGGAATATGCTATCAGCACAAGCTCAAGCCTAAGAGCAGCTGTTTCGTAGATGATGCCCGGCGCAAGCATGTCGAGGGGAGAAGGCGGCAAAGCCGCGGCTGCCTGGCCAATGCTTTTTGCTAAACTTCCCTTCCCAACGTGGGAAGCCTAACTATGATCCTGTTATCGACCCCGAGAATAGCCTTGGCTGCGGCGGGCAACTGAAAGACCGGCGACCTGCATAGGGGCTTCGCGGACCCCATTACCACTCGCTGAACCCAGCCTCTCGCGTCCACGCCGTACGGGAGTATCTGGCAGAAACTCAAGGGCATCAGAAGTATCGGACGCCGTCTGTGCCAAAACAATGCTCGGACGTATTACGTTCCGACTGCATGTCGACAACCTGTTTAATTCAGAGCATGACGGTGCCTAGCAGTCCCCCGGCTCATCAGCTAAGACACAAACTGCAGCTTGACCCGCACTCCTGATACTGTCGGCAAGCGATGCGGCAGCACCTTGAATGCCGTGCCCGTTTGGCACTGTAGATGCCTTTGGCCACCAATAACACCCAAAGAACAGAGAGCGTGCAGCTATGTGATATCAAGAGTAAGGGCACCTCGGAGCCGTTTTCTGCGACAACGTTTGCCTCAACTTGATCCTTCAGCTACACTGACGCTTGTTCAGTGCGACACTAGGACATGGGTGTGATCCTGATGCTGAACTTCATCAGCGGATAGAGCTTGAACCGCTGGCGTTGATGTATCCTCGCGACAGAATCGCCCCAAAAAAATAATTATCACTCAGCAAAAATCGGCATCAACACAGCTTGCGCGGCTCTTTTGAGCTTCCAGCCATCTGTTGTGCTTGTTGCGCGATGTGCGACCTGCGTGCACGGAGATTCAAGCTCTTGTAGATAATAGAATTATATAAGCCTTCCAATCCAAGGCACTGCAGCAGCTGCTGCATGCGCACGAGTTGCCGAAAATGTTCCTGCTGGACGTCGGTCAAGTGACCCTGACTCCTCGTCAGGCGACCCATGGCACCAGGGACACGCATCTGCTACGAGGCTCCCGCAGCTGGAGGTCTTGCAGCTGCTGCAGCTGACTCTGCACCTGTGCCAACAAAGGCTGCACCTGGTCGGAGGCCAAGCGGAAGCATGTCGCATCATGTCACCCTACGGAGACTGACTTCAGAAGTGGATTTGCGGTGTCATGTAAGCAGTCAAACATGGTCAGAGCTCGCAACGTCTTGCGAAAGATGGAAGCCGGATGAGCAACTTTGACGGTACTGCAAGGGCTGCACCTGCTGCAAGTCCTGCATCGTCCCAAGACTTCGCATGCGGAGTGCAAATCGCAGGAATAACAGATGAACCCTCGCGCGGGTCCACTGGATTGGCCGGCGGCCGCTCCATGGAACCTGCCTTCTGTCACCAGAGCACGAGAAAATAAGAAGTGACAAGAAGTGATACGAATGTAACACAGATGTGGACTGAGAAGTGTGGCGGGCTCTTGACACGCCGACATTGAGTCATCGAGACGGTTAAGAATCGTTTAGAATGGCATCAGCCCTTGATGAACATATCATATACAGTAGTCTGTCGGAGAGATGGCCTGGATGTCGTGGGGCAGGGGCAGAGTCTGCGCGCGATTGCCACCTCCGGTCCCAAAGGGTTTCGAGAAATGCGCGCTGTCGGCGTATAGACTGCGTCCGCATGCGTCCGCTCCGAGCCTGTTTCTGTCTGCCGCGCTTCTGCAGCGGCCTCGGTTAAACCGCAGAAGTCGAAAGAATGCCTAACCGAGCCTGCTTACTAGGCCAAAAAGCTGGGGCAAGATCTTGTGGCTGGATATTGAGCGCACGCCTGGCAAGCTACGACACGAAGAGAAAAATGCAGGTCCACGCATGAAGGTTGCGCTCGCCTGTACTCTTTCGGAAGAGTGAAAAATAGTGAAAGATAGAGCAGGGATGCGCTGGCAGAAGCTTTGCAGCTTAGCCGGTTTCGCCTTCACCAGCATCTGTCCATGGAATAGTCTCAGCAGGCCGACCAAAGAAGCGGAAATTCCACCCACATCCGAACTGGACAGAGAAGCAAACCTTCCAATACGCACTTTTGCTGTCACTGCACATGCCCTGACCGGTTTGCAGGTGCCCACAAACATTCCTCCACCGCGACAGTGGTGAGGCAGCCCTGCTTGCGCATGCAATCCCCAATCGGCGGACGACATGTCCTGTGGTCCTCGTACACCGAAGTGATGCTAACCCCACTCACCGACGAATGCTTTCTTGCAGATTCATGTCGGTCAAAGCATACCAAGGGCCGAAAGAGCCCACCGGATGCCTGAGTACCGAGAAAGCCTTAAACTTTACGATTTTGTGCCCTGATTGGGAGCTGGAAAATTCCGCCCAAATGCAAAATCTGTCCAGGGTTTGGCTCATATTCCATCATCCGGAGACAAAGACCACGCTCCGCACTTCCCGTCGATTCGTGATGCTTTGTTCGGCACAAAGAAGAAAACCTTTTCGCGAAACCCGACACCCAACCCTTGGGCGGCCTGCAGGAGTTGTTCTAGATTGGAGCGCTTTACGCAGAGGTCTCCCTACTTTCCAGACAGGTGCCTGGAGTTGCCATGTTCGACTTCGAAAATCCCGACACATGCCTTTGGCTGCTGACTTGCCTTGATCAAAGGCCCGAAAGTCTTTGTTGACCCCATTAAGATTTCGTGAAAGACGACTGCCCCAAGCAAACGAGGAGCTGTCGTCCGAGAATCAGCCAACTTTTCGAGTCAGTGTTCATGGCTTTGTTCCAGTTGGTTGAGCCGTTGAGCGCACATTCACCATGGGCACCATGACTTAGAGCAGCACCACAAGACTACCCAGACTTTCTCAAACCGCCACTTCTGCACCCACGAAACACTTGATATCCTGTATATCCTTGTTTGCTCAAGCCACGCCAGTCCCACCTCGGTGCGGGAATGCGATGAAGAAGGCCAGTCCTGATGTCAGCACCAATCGCACCATCACCTGGGTTCGAACTTCGCAGACAACACTTTCAAACTAAGAGTATGCTCTCAGTCGACAACCGCCCCATTGTGTCGATGGAACAATCACGACCTGGTGCGAAACACACTGCAATGCATCTGCCACAAGATGAACTAATGAACTACAAGTAGCACCGAGTCGACACCTGGCCTCCCTGATGTTCTCTGCTTCGATGTTGTAGACCTCAATGTATTGAGTAACACAAAAAACTCTTGCCAATGCCTGCAACAGGCTGCCAGGCTACATAAATCTTCAACTCTGTGCCCATGTAAAGGTTCACCACCTCTGTCAGCTCGTCCTCGGTGCATGTGTTGCAATCTGGGCCAGTACAGAAAGCAGGCTTAGTCAAAATCGGCAAAGCTCGCGCACCAATGGCAAGAACGGGCGACGTGGTTGCAAAGAAGGGGTCTTCCAGAGGCGCCAGCGCTGGCAGGAGGAAGAGCCAACCCGATCAGCATGGTCGAACGGTAAAGTGAGTCAAACGAGACTACAGTTTTGCAGGTGCGGCACCGTGCCTGACCCTCGCGGTATCTACAGACATATACGAATCAAGCTTGCAGCCTGCACGTGGCAACGTCGAAACTTTTACGTCCTCGAGTCGACCAGAAGGGATGTTTTCATGGCCAGTATTCGTCAGTTGCTTTGAGGGCAGCGGGGAGTCACGGGAAATACGGGAAATTTCCAGACATATGCGATTGATCAGCTACCAAACCGTTAGACTCCACAAATCGTTCCCAACTTAGCGAAGCAATTCACGAAACATAACTACTGCAAGCTCCTTAAGAGCCATGGTGGGGTTATGCCCATGCTTCGACACCCGTTCACTGAACCTGACAGTTTAGGCTGGCTGCAAGTTGACATCGTAACCTTTCACCGGACGCGTGAAAATGGTTTTGACCGTTTTCCGCCACTGGCTCTGTTCTGTCTGATGAAGGTGGAGCTTTGAGCAAAGACAGTTTGTCAACAACCGCAGGCTAATTCTATCCAACGGTGCATCGTTACGTCAGACGGTGGGCACCCCAGGCGCATGCCATCACATGGATGCTTCTCTGAATTGCTCAGGAGTGCACTTGGGCAGAATCTGAATCTGTCAGCATGGAAGTCTGCTCAGCCGATACATAACATGGAGAGTCCAAGGGTCCATGTCCCTGAACATGACTTCCGTCGTTCCGAGGAGGAAGTCCTGCAGTACGCACATTAGGCACGTCTGCCGAAACGACGCGAATACGCCTGACACCTGTAGCAAGTCCTTGTTCGGCACTAAACCGGCAGCTTCTGCCGGTGAATTTGGGAAGACGCTCAGCACCCGCATGCCCTGCTCCACGCAGAAGTCATGCGCTCTCACTCACTCAACAAACAGAAACAGCGAAATCACGTGACAACACAGAGCCTGCCCTTCCGCGCTCTCGAGAGTATCATAACGAACCTGACAGACTTACAGGCCACCTTTTCTGAAACAGTGTACGGCAACTACTTGCCTTCTGAAAACTGCGATCGTACTTGGGACAGGACAACAGCACCCAAAAGACCAGCACCACCCCAGCGCCTCAAGGGTAGGGACATTCTCCCAGAATGGAGCTGCTGAAACTCCAACGGACTGGCAGGCGTCGAGCGATACGACTTTCAGCTCCCTGCCGCGGTGTCACATAAACATCCCGGGCCCTGCAAATGCGGTCATATATCGCATCTCCGCTGTCCAAGACTCGCCAAGGGCCCGGCGTGTGGGTGCGGATGTTGTGAACAACCAGCTTTGTTCGCTGGTTCTCTGCCTCTTGGATGGCACTGGCAAATGTAGCTTGGTCGGCATCCATGTGCACGCCATCGATCTCCACGATGAAGTCAAAGAAGACTTCCAAGCCAGCTTCAGCAGCCGGACTGCCGGGATTGACTTTGAAAATGCGAAATCCACCCACTTCAATTGACCTTGGCTCTGAGAGTGCCGAAACCGCCTCGCTCCAGACTCAATCCTACGAACATGTGCAGGCAAAACCAGTCAAAGCAGATCCATCTCAACTCAGAAAGACGTCTGCGGCACATTTCCTGAAATCACTGAAGACCTGACGGACGGAAAATAGTTCGCATACGATTTGGACCTCGTGCAGCACCGCCGCGGCCCCCAATTGAGAGCTTGGAGTAACCATAGGGCAGTGGCTTGTGTTTGCTCCACGGTGCTCCCAGACCAGGATTACGGTTTGAAACTGTACTTCAGCTCTTCCCGCTGGCATTCAGGTTCCCCGAATTTCCAGGAAGTTGTCAAAAACCAAAGAACTTGCATGCTCGAGGCCTAGCCTTAGGAGAGCCCCAAACCCAACCTGCAAACTCTACAGTAATCCCGGAGTTTTTGTATAGCAGGAAATTTTAACGTCCAGAGCCTGGAAAAAAAGACTATAACCTAGCTACGAGTACTATTACTGTGACGGGCACCGGCCCGGAATCATTGGGATGTACTGAAAACAAATAATTATGAGATAAATACGAGAACAGATACAAGAACACATGCAAGATACATACGAGCAAAAGACTAGCGGACTAGCGCCGTGTTCGACGTCAGAACGAAGTACAAGAGAAGTACGCGAAAAATACGAGGACAAGCTGACTCATCAATCCCACCCGCCCTCCAGGTAACGCTTGTTTTCATGCTGGTTGGTGCAGCAACTCGTGCAACGATTTTGCAGGCAAGCTTTGCTTCATCTTGTGCGTTGAAGCTTGGCTTACCGTGGTCGTCGAGCTTGACATTCCCTTCCAGCATCCACTTTGGGATGGGCGGGTGGGAAAAAAGATCCTATCATTTTCCTTCAAAAAGGCACTCTTGTGCCCAACTGCAGTAGGATCCACCACCTCCAACACATCTGCATGTCCTGCACATCACTCAGCGCAGGCTTATTCGTGATTTTATGCGACAAGCTGACTCATCAATCCCACCCGCCCTCCAGGTAGCGCTTGTTTTCATGCTGGTTGGTGCAGCAACTCGTGCAACGACTTTGTAGGCAGGCTTTGCTTCACCTTGTCCCTTGGAGCTTGGCTTACCGCGGTCGCCGTGCTTGACATTGCCTCCCTGCAGCGCGCACGGCATTTCTTGCACGAGGTGGGTTCCTTCGGGTCCGTGACATAGGTGAAGTTTGAGAACCGATACAACCACCGGGCCACCCGCACGTGGTCTTCCACAGGTGAGGGGTCTCCTTTACCAACGTCATGTCGATGTCGTGTATAAGCCCACTGTAGGCGCTGCACTCCCTTTTCCCGAAGGAACCTTCGCTGCGACGTCGAGGCCGTCCTTGTCTTTGTTCTTTTCCACCACATCGACATAGCTTTCGAAGTTGTCTTGTAACTTCTTCTTGAACTCCTCGCTGGCCTCCTTCATCTCCTTGAAGAGGCGCGTGCGGTCCTCTAGGACCGAAGCATAGTCATAGTCCACGTTGTTCCTGTCTTCCTCCTTTCTCTTCATCGCCCAGAGCTGGGCGTTCCTCCAGTGCCTCGGCTGCGTAGTCCAGCACTACGTCCGATTTCCACCTGCCGAGGAACTTGACCTGCTCCAGGGCGTAGCCGGACTTGATGTAATAGAGGGCGCCGAGTGGCCCGAGAGCTTGGTGTAGAAGCATTCCTTCCACGACCTCACTGTCTGTGCCTTCGACGCTTTCGTCCCGTTGCACAGCGGGGAGACCCTCTGTCATCTTGGAGGAGTGGAGGTGGTCCGCTTTGTGACACAAATCCAAGGACACAGGCTTTGGGCGAGTCTCCTGCAAGTGCGTCCAGGCAGAGTGGGCCAGGTAGAGGAAGACCAATTTGTCCTGCACGTCCGAGACCTCCAGCCTCTCCAGCTCGTCCTCCCGGAGCATCCATATGGACGCAAACAAGCAACGTGCTTTGGGGCAAGGCGAGCCTACCTTTACTTCTTACCCAGGCTTTGGTCCCCGCAGCAGGGTCGAGGTCCAGATCCGAGGCTTTCGCTAGGGCCATGTTTCGCCGGAACTACTTCTTGCACAGGTCCAGAGTCCTCTGCAGGGTATGCGACCAAGGGTGGCCTGCTTCCACGTGGATCAGCTTCAGGTCTAGCTCTACGAGGCAGGCTTCCGCTGACTTATACCATGCCTCCTTGAAAACCGCCGCAACCTCTGCCGTAAGTGGCAAAGCAACTGACCGTTGACGCCGAGGACCGAACCCGCACCAAGGCGGCCATCCAGGTGAGGCCAAGATGACGTTCCTCCTGCGCCTTCCCCCAAGCAGTGCCCAAAGGCTATCGTCTACGTCTACTTGGTGGTTGCCCTCGCGGCCGCTTGCACGCAGGACTGCAGGAGTCTGGCCAACAAGGCCGCAGGCCCTGCGCCATAAGAGCGTCGCCGCGCGGAAGCCGAACAGAAGGGCGACGAAGATGTAAATTTCTTCCACGCCCTTCGCTGCCTCGTTCTCCTCCCTCACTCTTCCTGGGGCCATGCAGTGAAACAGCTCCGCTTCCGTGACGGCCAAGCGCATGAACGCGTCGCTGATGTCTATCACCACCGTCACCACCCACTCCCTGGCCCATTCCTCCTCGTCCCAACCAAATTTGTTGTACTTCGACTTGAGCTCGGCCTCCTGCTAGCACTGGAAAGCAGCCACGCGCACAGCATCGACCGGCCTGAGTAGTGTGAGGCGTTCCGGGAGCGCAGACTTGCTGTTGCGAGCGTGGCGGCGAAGCCTTCCTCTACACACCTGTCCAGCTCGATCCGGCTTGTCGGTGACCGAGGCGTAGTTCTTGAGCGGGCCCTCCCTCAGCGACTCATCGTCCCCTCCGGCGCTTCACGTTGTTCATCTTGAAAGACCGCAGATGCCACAAGTGGGGATCACTCTTTCTATCCCAGCGGCGCCGCCGGTGCAAGGTCCACCTTCGCTGGGGCTTCGCAGGCGGACGTGCCGTAGGACTCTGCGACCTCCAACGCACCCGGGCGTCTTGCAACGAAGCGTTCCCAGGCCGTCAGATCTTGACCCTGAGGTTTCTTGCAGAAGGTAAACCCAGACTGCCTTTGGGGCTCCCGGCCCCTCCCAAGTGCGGAGGGTCCCTCGGCTTCGGCTTGATCTTTCGAAGGTTCCTTGGCCCCCCTTCCAACCTAGCAGCACCGGGTCGGTGTTATCATCAGCCCCCCTTCTCTGCGATCTGCTTCTCGTTTCCTGCGCTTCCGAGCCCTTGTCCACATCATGGCCTCCCCCCTTCTCGGCGATCTGCTCCTCTTTTCCTGTGCTTTCGAGCCCTCCACGACCTGTGCGTTGACCGCCGGCGCACTGTTGGCGGCTGTCCCGACTCTGGCGGGGCGACTCCGGAAGCTTTTTGCGCTGTGGCGCGCTTCCGCGCGCTGTTCCATCACCGCTCCTGCTGGGCCTCAGCGAGCGCTGCTCTCGCATCGAAATGCCTTCGAAGAGCTCGCCACGGTGCGCGACAGGTCTCTTATCTCCGTCTGGAGTTCGACCTGTCTTTCATTTAGCCACTCTAGTTGCCCCATCTTAAAGAGGTGGCCATGATCTTGCCGGCGAGTGCACCCACGAGCTGGCCTGGGTACTCCGCCGACGCTGCTATATCGGCACGTGGGTTGCTCGCCCGCACGGGCTGTCCCGAGAGCTTGCCGAGGCCTTGTTCTATGGGTAAATTTTATAGTGCCTGCCCCGCCTCCACGCTGGTAGAGGCACGTCGGGAAGGCAGCGGCGGGTTCTCGAAACAAACAGGCGTCGTTCTCCGTGTAGAGCACCGCGCCGGCCATTTCTGCAGCCCTCTTGGCGAGGATCGTACTGCCCTTCTCATCGAGCTCTGGGAGGCCGCAGGGGCTCTTTGGTCCTCAGTAGCCCCCCGAGGCCCCGTCGATGTAGTTGAACCTGGCCTTAGAAAACGAGGAGCAACGGAAGCCGTGGTATCCGTCATAACCTCTCGCCTCGCTTTCCTCAGCTGTGTAGGGCTACTCCTCGGCCAAGTCCACGGCCGCCTTTATGCCGGCGGCCTCCACCTTGACCTTGACCACCATTCCCATCCCTCGTCCTTCGCCTTGTGCACGATGGCCTTGCCGAGCTTGTCCTCCTTGCCCGATGCAGGTATATGAAGGTCCTCTTCCGAGGGTAGGTCATGAGCCCTTCTGGGAGGTTGTCCAGCTCGGGCTGGAACTCCTCGTGTCCCCGACCTTCTCGATCGGGTCTTCTTTATCCTCTCCACCTTCGTCGCCTGCATCAGCTCCGAGGCCGCTCGCGCCTTCCTCCCTTCTTCTTCTTGACCGCCCATGGCCTCGCCCTCCTTCTCGTTCTTCTCTGTTGTCACTTCTTCTTCTTCTTCTGAGGGCAGTCCTTGCTCGGGTGGCCACGGGAGCCGCCTGTGGCGCACTCATGTTGGCGAGGAACCTTGGCCTGGCACGGGGAACCCGGAGAGAGCCCAGCACGAGGGCCATTCCCATTGTTCCAACCAAAGCACCTTTGGTTTCCTTTGCCGTCGGTTTTTCCCCCTCCTCCTCCTTTGCCACCATGGCCCTTTGAACCGGCATTGGAAGCGCGTAGTCGTTTTAGTTCTTCTCTGTCCGCTCCTTCCCTTTGCTGCCTCCTTCGCGCCGTCGATAGTTGCTCCGCTGTGGGCTCCTGCTCGGGCGGGGTCCCCCCATCAACTCCACGTACTTCTCGTAGGCCCTCATTGTCACCTTCGAGTCGTCCTAGGTGAACTCGGAGTCCTTCCACCACCGAAGGTGGCAGGGTAGCCAGCAGGCGGACGTCGTCCAGGGGGTCGCCAACCTGAACGACGAAAGCATCCCACACTGCGTCTACCATCGAACCATATCCCGCAGAGTGGTTAAACCAACCGCTTCCGCGGAGAGAGGTACATGGCAGAGCGCGAGAAAAAATCATATCATTTCCCTTCAAAAGGGCACTCTTGTGCCCAACTGCGGTAGCATCCACCACCTCCAAAACGTCTGCATGTCCTGCACATTACTCAGCGCACGCTCATTTGTGATGTTACGCAACAATACGAGAGAAATACGACTAAAGTACAAGAAAAACACGAGCGAACAAGTATCTTGTATTTATTTTGCATGTTTCGTGTATTCTCGCTTGTACTTTTCTTGTATTTGTTTTGCAGAGGCATGGTCGTCTTGCATTTCTGCTCGCATTTTTCTTGCTTTTTACTCGCATTTTTCTTGTATTGTCTGCTGCTGCTGGATTGCCGCCCGTATTTCCGCTTGTATTCCCGCTCGTATTGATTTCGTATCTGAATCGTAATTACTGTAAATTAGTTTTGATGCGTGCCAGCCATTCCGGAACATTCCCCTCGCAATACTATTACAGATCGCAGTCTAACAAAGAATCGCAGTATGGCTGGTTGTGCGAACATCCTGGACACAGCACACCTGCCCGCGTCTCTTTGCATGACTGAATTGCCGCCGGCTGAGAAGTCGGCTGGCCACCTCCCATCGCTCCATGTATGCTCTGGGGTGGGGTGAACTTGTGATATTTAGGGTTTAGGGTTTAGGGTTTAGAGTTGAGGGCGGTTTGGGTTTAGGATGGTTTGGGGTTTGTGTCGTAGGGTCACCCTTTGGTTGCGGTGTAGCAAGCTTCCTCCCATAAGAGTAGCAAACTCTTCTTTGCCGAGCGCCTGCAGAAGGCGTGTCAACTAAAAGAAAGACAAGGACAACAATATTATCATTTCATATTGCGTCCCCAGATGTGCTGGCAACACGAACATGGTGACCCTCAGGAAGAGGCGGTTTTAGAAGGCATGTGCAGGTTTTGTCCCTCAGCTCTTGTGTAGTGTGCAGCATGGTCTGCTCGGCAGGCTCCAGGCTGCGAGCCGATGCAGCTTACGAAGACGAGCTCTTGCTGAGCAACGAGAGCACATGCTCTTCTGTGGGCGACATGTTGAGAAGGCCAGGGTGCAAAAACGGACCTTTTGGCCGCAACAGCATGAGCAACAACCTGTCCACCATCTCCAGCATCACGTTCTAAGCCAAGCAAATGTGTTAGGTTCGAGTATGTTCAAAAGAGAGGAGATGCCGATAGTCTTCATATTATACCTGCATCTGGACTTGGACGTATGCATCAGTCGAGACGAGGCTTCTTGCTGTCGGTGTCAGCCTGCAAGTCGCACGGAAGACTCATGCAATGTTTCACCCCAGTGTCTGTCTTTAAGAACTACAAAGCACAAGGCAGTCAGAGCACCTTGTCACTAGTTTGCCACGCGACAACCACGGCAGTGAGATTGTCATCGCTACCCAGTTCGAAGGCCCGCCTAAGCGACTCGACATCGACTCGGCTGAGCAGATGGATCACTGAGCCGGCTGCCGAACCAGAGCATGAGCCGCAAGGTCGGCGGTCTTGTGCTCCGCACACACCAAGACAGCCTGCCAAGAGTCAAAACACGAACCCTCTCTCTGGCCTACAAAGGCAATATGACGGCCTCCTCATCATCCAATACGTCCCAAATTCCGTCACACGCCAGGACGAGGAATCTGTCCTTCACTCATTCGAGCTCCCTGAAGTCACTATGGAAAGCTGAAGAGAAAGCCTCATTGGCGTTCAAGTCGTGCAGCGTGATCTCCGGCATAGCACTCACCAACGCGCCTGTGCAGCCTGGCCAGGAATTGCCAGTCAAAACTTGTCGACCTTTAATCGCAGGCTTCCGTAAACGCCTGCGCATCCGTATCTCTGTGGCTCCTGCGGATGCCAGCTGTTGGATGTCGGTCTGATAGTAAGCAAAGCAACTGCAAACTCTCCTTCATCAGCAAGTCGCCGAAGGCCCGAGATACTGCAAGACCCCAAAGCAGACTTCGCCCACCGAAGGTTGCTGGGCCGGGCGTGAAGACACGCCAGACGCCCTGAAGCAGCACCAGGGAGGTCTCCACACGCTGCTGACATGCGCATACCCATCGCTGCATAATACAGCAAAGGGAGCCTGCATGTCCACAACTCCGCCATTGCCTTCAATGCGACGCTGTTCATCTGGTCGTCCAGGCTTGTGGTCATCAGAAAGGCGAACGGCACCAAGACTTCCTGCCTAGCGCTCGCGAGCAACAAGGAAACTGGCGACCACATGCAGACTGGCGAACAAGTAGCCTTCTGACGTCCGAGCACTGCTCGCGAATCGCCCAAGTTAGCCACCAGAAGCCTGTCAGTGCTCACAACCACCAGCCCTCAGCCTCTGCACTCTGTTCTGACATGCCGGGTTGAAGGAAGGAAAACCACGCTCCGTCAGCTGTATCCTGGACTCTGAATTGTTTAACCCAAAGATGTCAATCAATTTTGCGGGCGGTACAATGACCCCAGCAGTAGATAGTAGGTGTCCGCTGTCCAAACCAAGCAGTTTGTTGAGAGAAACATCTGGTGGCTGTAGCGGCTGTACGGTAGCAACAGCCTGAAAACGGGGAGCATTGTGACGCTCAACGGACTGCCACACGGCTTGGAGCGACTCTCAGGTTTTACACGGCGAATTCAGTGGCTGCGAGGAGTTGGGGCTTTCGAGGGCTCCAGCGGTCTTTTCTGTCTGTTTAGCGTGCGTTAGGCCTCGAAGAGGTCATCCACTTCCACCCATGTGGAAAGCGCTCATTCTGAAAGCTCTTCACGTGTGACGTCATGCACTAAGATGCCACACGAGTAGGTATTTGCAATCCACCGGCCCTGCCTACTTTTGCCTTTAGGCTGTGATTCTCCACGGCGTCCTCTGAAGCAAGCAACAGCGTTTCTGAAAGGTGTGATAAAGATGCAGCAAAGAGAGATGCACGGTCCTTCGTCAGGCCAAATAAGGCACAGGATCATCGTGGTACCATCTAAGGCCTCACGCTCCCGGGCCTGTTCATCAAAGACTGTCAAAGGCGGGAAGCGTGACAGTATCAACTTAGTTTCCCGGAGCTTCCTTAATCAGGAACTCGTCGTCTGTCAAGACGCATGCCTCTGTGACCTCGAGACTGAAATCAACATTCCCTCAGAGCCTGCTTGCTGAATACTGCCGTGTGTCGAGCAGGCTGGGCATCTTGCTGCCTGTTTCAGATGCTCCTCCGTCAGCGTCGGCTTTGCCGACAGGCACTTCTGGAGATTCCTCACGAAAGCACGAGAAATGCAGAAAGGCCGAAATCCGGAATGGAGTACCAGCTCTGAGCCTCGGCAACCAGTCCATCATGATGTCAACCTGCAGATGACTCCGTTGGTGCGGGGACACGTTCCGAGTCGCCAAGGGTCCCGGCGCATAAGCTGCCGGAGTGTCCGTCGAATACGAGAACACCTTCGCAAGATCAAGGAAGTAGCCGCAGAACGGTCATGGTTATGCTGTCAGGGGGCCAACAATACGTTGACCTCCGGGTGCTTGCAGCTCAACATCCGTAACTGGCAAGTCAGGGCCAACCTTGCAAGACCTATCAGCCCTAGTCGGACCGAAGGCAGTGTGAGTGTACTCGGATCTGAAGCGAGGCTGCTTTGCGAAAGCGATCTTCTTGCACCTCCTGCCCACGCTGCTGTGGACGGCTTCCATTGCTGGAGAATGCTGGAGCATCAGCGCCTTGTTGCCCTGCCAAGATGCAGCGCCTGCAGAACGTCCGAATGAACACAAGCACTGAGATGCTTCCCATTCAGAGCACAGCACCTGCAGACATTAGCAGGCGTCCGACGCTCGTCTCATGCGCCTCTCCAGGGCTACAGTATCAGGCGAAGCCGAACAACAAGTTTTTCAGCTGACCCCCGTGAGCATCCACGGCGGGCTGCCGCCGTCGGCACTTCCTGGTGTTCATCACAGCTGCAGTTCCGTTATAGATGTGACTGCCCAGACCTGCGAGTCGCTCGCAAAGTTGCTGGTGCCGATTTATTTCGAGCTTCTCCTGCACCTTAGACCAGCAGCTTGGGCCGGCAAGTGCAATTCGGCGAGCGACATCCGACACGCTTTCTCAGAATCGGGCTTGACCATACTCTGCCATGACCTACCCAGGAGCAAACGATGAGCCTTTTGCTGGCTCCACTGAAACTATGAAGCAAGACATTACCCCTGCAGCCTTCCACATTCGAGAAACATCGAGCTTGGACGAAGTGATATGCTGACTCTGTGCCGAGAGATCATTCTGAAACTTCTCCGCGACGAATCTGCCCGACGAAAACATACCAATTTCTGCTGCGGCATTGCCCGAATGCGCCCATGCTTCCACGGCAGCGGCACATCATTCGTCGGGCCTACACTTCTTGTATGACAGCAAGCCCCGCCAGTTTGCCTACGAAAACCCGCCCTACAGAGCATCCTGCCCGCATCTCATGGATGTCACCTTCCTGCACTCAAAAGTGTGTCTGTTCAGTTTTGCTAAACTTTCACATATCATCATCGTAATCATCATCATCACCATCACCATCATAATCTTCTTCTTTTTGTGCATCTAGTCCGCTGAGCTTGTTGTTCTCGAGGCTCAATGAGCTCTGGAGGCCCATGCTCCAAGAACTCGTTGTGCTGCCGCTTTGATCTCTTCCGGACCGCACTACAACTCTCCGGGAGGGCAGAGAAGCTTGTTGTCACAGCACAAATTCCAGCTGCTTTCGTGGTTCGAACTTCTAAAGTGACAGGCACTTCTGAAACCACATAACAGCCGAAACCGCAACAAACATACTGACATTACAGCTGCACTGGACATAGTGTCACCTGTCACCGCTTTCTGGTATTGGAGAAGTCTGCTTTCGTGCTCGATTTTCATCCGAGCATTCCATTCCGTACCTGACGTTTGCCTGACGCAGCACGGCATTCCGCATGTGTTCAATCAAACGGTCAGCCGTTCCTGGCCCGAAACACCGTTAAGAATGGCCAGGAGCAGAATCATACAAGTAGGTTTTGTCCGAGGATTTGGCGAGCCTGCCGGCACTTCAAGTCCAAGCTCATCCGCTGGCTTTCCAAGGCCTGATCATGCGGTCTCCGCAACACTGGCAAAGCCAAACGTGCATGAGGTACCTCATCCGGCACTTCTTGCTTGCTCAACGAAATGTCAACTTCCTCACAAGACTTACACGACCGTCGGCAGATCGGTCGAGTAACCCGTGCCAGAGTTTGCCTTCACAGTAACTGCAACTTATATTACCTCCACAAATGTGACTTGTAGCAAACCCTCCATACACACTGCATTCTACCTGCAGCATGTCTGCGTGCCCAAAGTTGTCCTGAACCTGCCTTTTGACTGCAGCCACAGCTTGTCGCAGCTCCTCCGACGACATTTTCTCGGCATCATGCACATCAACATGCTGCAGGCCTCTTTGCGCTGCTGGTTCTCTTCCTCCTATCAAACGACAGTCAAGACATGCTCCCAGACGGCGATTGTCTGCAAGTGCGCCTGCTTGCTGAGATTTCGTCTGTGTAACTCGGAAAGCTGCCTGAGCTGAATCCCGGGACGAATGGCTTTCTTGTCATGCATGAGTGTTCCTGTCATTGATTTGCACTCAGCGGCGCAAGCTGCTGAGCTCGGAGCTTGTGCTTCGTGAGAAGGGCTGCGCTGCCAAATTTCCGCTTGCAGAGGAAGCAAATATACCTGGCAACACCCAGCATGCTGTACAAAAACAGATGCCTCCTCGCAGACAAGCAAGAAGCCTTGGGGCAACATTGTCTGCCATGGCAAAGGTTGCCTCTTTGCACCAACATAAAACTTCTGGCGACAGTACTAAAACCAATCGGGATGCTGAGGCTGCGTCGCTCCGTCGGCTTCTCACATCTGTGAGACACACATGTCGCAGTCGTGTTGCATGGCTGCCAGAAATTATCAGAAATTCTTAACTTAATTAATTCAATACACCAGTGATGTGGTGAGCGGCTACGACTTTTAGCAAAGTGGAAATGGTGCCTGGACAATCTGATACAAGCTAGGGCTGCTTGGGTTGAGTCTGTCTAAGCAGGGGTCCATGGGTTTGACTAATAACGCTGCGCAGCGATGGAAGACAGAACATTTTGCTCGAATCGTGCCCTAAGATTCCGATATAGTTTCCGGTCCCTCGTCACCGATTCCCAGCAGGCTTTTCATGCCATTTGCTCGTCATGAGCTGTCAGCTCGTAGCGCCTTCGCGACCTTGAAAGGTAGTGAAATGTGTGAAACAGCCTAGCCTAGCTTCAATTCAAGCAGTGTGGCAATGCTGAGCACCCCACTGCGCAGGCTCCAACGATGTAGCGATATCATGCCAGGATACTGCCTGCATTGGAAGACGAGCAGGATGAGCTTGTTCCATGTTTGTCGTCGACGGGTCGACATGAGACTGCCGACCCTGGGCGGGTGAGATTTGTGGATTCTCGCATGTGGGTACCAACATGTGCACAGCGACATGCATGGAATGCTAGATGTATTGACTGTACTGCTCCGCTAGTGATATAATCATACACATATTCAACAAAATGCACGTCTATATGGAAGGTTACATACTGCATGAAAACTTGAATACACATGTGAGATCTGTTTGGCTTCCTTCTTTCTTCAGAAGGCTTAGGAACCTAGGAGGGTTTTCTTTCTCCCTCCCTTCCACCCCAACCCTCACCTCTCTCCTCCACTCTTCTCCCCCTCGTGCTCGGTTCTTGCCGTCTTCTGTATGTTGGCAAATGACAAATGAGTGCCCGTAGCCAATGCCACATAGTTGTTTCTGAAAGTTTGACTTTGTCATGCTCCTCGGCAATGACCTGATGGTCTCACACGTACATCAGGCTCCATCAGTGGAAGTGAACCAAAAAGCGCACCCAATGCCCAAAACTGCGAACGACCCTAAACCCAAAGCCCTAAAGAAGCTCACCTAACCAATCTGAAACTATACCTACGAAACCCAACCCTAAACCCTAAATTCTAAACAGCCCAAACCCTGAACCCTACAAAATCCGAAGCCTTAAACCCTGGACCATCAACAACTCAAACCCTAAACCTTGAACAATGCCAAACCCGCAGCCTCTCGGTCACTCCATTTAGGAATCCCCAAACCGCAAACCCCTAAACAACCGGAAGCTGGATTTGACAGGAACTTTGGTACCGGAGTCAGCATTTGTCCCGTGTGCTAGTCCTTTCCGGGGGTCAGAGAGTGGGGCCGGAAACAGGGACCTGCATATTTGGATGCATGATCTGCTTTGATGGTGTTATAAGTATGAACACACCTAACTGTCATTCGGCGTCGGCTCTTGATTTCCGTCGCGCTGTTGGGCTGCTTCACAGCCGTGCGTTGCAACCACCTGGAGACCCTTCATTCAAGGCTGAATCAAGGCTGTTCAGGTCGCCAGGCCTGGCGCTTCCTGTCACCAAGCAGGATACCAGTACCTCACCCGATCCAGCATCAATGCGTCGCATTCTGAGCAATGCCTTGCTATTGGCCTCTGAGCACCCGACCCAAAACGGTTTCAAGGCCTTCTGCTGAAAGGTCCTCTGCTTCGTCGCTGGTGGAGTCACTGCTGGAGGAGTCGCTGCCTTCAGTAGCACGGTTTACGATGCTGAGGTCTTACAAACAAGAGGTGAGCACAAACAGCACCCCAACTCCCCAGCCACCCCAATCCCACCCACCCAGCCCCACCCACACCCCTCCCTCCCACTTGCCTGCGCTTCTGGAATTCCGAACCCCAAGCGCTAAAACCGTTTACCTAAACCCTGATCCAAAAACCTAAACTCCTGAAACCCTAAAACCTGAAACCCTGAAACTCTTCAACCCTTAACCAAAAACATTGAAAACTCTACACCCCATTTCCAAAAAATGGTGGGAAAGAGTGGGCTTTGTGCTTGGAGAATGGATTTAAGACCTTTTCGGCAGGCCCGATTGAGCACTCTGAAGCCATGTTACTGGAGTCTGTATCCGAGGCGGCTTTCTTCTCACCTGCATGCATTTTATGTATTCACAGGCCATGGCTGACTGAGGAAGAATACGGCTCCAGAACATCGTGCCTGAACTGCGTTCGTGACGCATGCGATAGCCTGCCATGAGCATAAACAGGTGGAAACAGCAGATGAGAATGGACAAGACAACAGTCACAAAGAGCAGGCGCAGCATCGAGGAAAACAGAGCTGAGCGGCCATCACGAGTGTTCAAGTCAAGCGCCCAGTTGTACAACCTGCAAAAGAAAAACAAAAGGGGACACTTGGGACACTGGTACTGTCCGCCAGCACCACGACATGATTGATATCCTAGGCTCTAACTGCTCCTATCTGAAGACCCCAGCAGAAAACCAAGCCAGGCTACCGATTCTACATGCCATGAGGACCTAGCTCTCCCGGCATGCGACTCTTTTCCGACACGACATGGAGGTGCCTGGGGGCAAACTTCCTCATGTTGCGAAGCCACAGGTATGCCACCTGAGAAGTCTTAAACAAGGCCTCTCTCTGCTTGTGGCAGACGCAAGTCTGGCAAGGCCTTCTCCCGATCTTTACGAGTTCGACACCAAACTGTTTCAAAGTTGTCGCGCCCACCTCAAGATGCTGAGTCAAGTCGACAGCGCAGTGGGCGACTGGCTTAACTTCGCATGCCACACTGCACCAGCACGTGCATGCGAGATGCAGTAGTTTTGGGTCACAGCAACACAGTCCTTGGTGCAAGATGTCGTACTTGACCCACGGGTGAGAAGCCGTAAGCTTCTGGGAAACATTGAGGACCTTGCTTGCAGATTCAGCACACCGTGCCACCAGTCCTGCTGGCCATTGTGTGCATGAGGGAGGTGCAGGCTGCGCAATTGTCCATGCAGGGTACATGCAGTCAACAGTCGCGGCGTCCCCGGGCACGAAGATGATGTCTCCAGGACGCTGAAGCCCTTCGTATGTTTTGACCTGGGCGTTCACCCCGTCAAAGCAAGCCCTCCGACCTGTGAACAAAAATTCTGAATGCCAATCGATTTCTCGGCGTGAAAATGAGCACCGAGATCAGCGCATCTGGATAAGCTTCTTTCAAGCGAGGCAAGATGAAATCAAAATACATGACGGCCTGGCACAAAAACCATGTCAAGATGGTTTGCCCCTGCCACAGAGGGAACTCACCAATAGCAAAGGCCTCTGTGTCCTCACCTGCAGCAGAGGGAAACTGTGCCCTGTCGTGCTAGATTCCGAACGAACTCTTTAATGCCATTGGCATGCATGGCTGAGGCAGGCTTGAATCGCTTAGCACCCTGCTGATGTTCGAAACATGCGCAGTCTGCTGCAGAGACAAAGTGATGCAAACACCCCCGCGGCACAGACCAGCCTTTTTGTAGAACATCTTTGCCCTTGGCCTGCAGGCCGACATGGACGAGGAAAACAGAAAGCAAGGATAATCTAGGTATGTTCAATTAACTGCGTTCAAGTCGAGGGTCGATGCGCTTCGGGGTGCTTGGCTCGAAAAGAACCCACCGCTTCACACCGTGAGTCAAAGCCTTAGGCACATTGGCAGGAGGTACAGACAAGGCTTCAACAAAAAGCTGAGCAAACAGCATTCCAAGCTGCTGTCCCCAGAGGATCTGTGTGCACCTCGAACTGCGGGGCCCTATAGGCCGTAGTGGTCAAGCCCGCAAATCAATGTGTAAGGCATACACCGTAGTCCCAGACCTGCAAGCGCGTAGTCACCGAGACACCAAACATTTTTTACCTTTGAATTGGGCCTCTTTGGTCCAATGCACCACCATCGATGAGGCGGCCGTGCATCGGGATTCATGAGGGCAAACCTCAACGAGACGCACCGCAGAACACAACCCGACATCTCCTTGGCATTGAGGCATGGACCAGTCATCGGGAAAAAGATCCGGCATCTCGAAATCAGATAGCAAATGCCTCATTGCACTGGTTTCCTGGCAAAGACTTCATGTACACTCATCGAAGAATTCGAGCAGGGTGCCAGCAAACATGACAGCAGCTCATCGACTTTCGTTTCAAACAAGTACAACGGACTGTCCTTGGAACAATATCAACGCCGCATCCATATATGCCGAAACCCTTCACAGCCCTGCTTGCGTCTTGCTGAGAACACGACATCTCTCTGATGTCGGCAGTAATCGGCAAAATATTTCATCTTCAGCTGTATGTTCCTGCGGTCAATACATCGGGAGGACAAAGGTTTTACCTACTGGACCTGTCTTGTCTTAAAACGTCTTGCGGAGTAGTGGAGTACCGAAAACTGTGATTTACGTGGCATGGCCAGCGGAGTATTTTAAACCCTTGTTTCAGCATTGTACTACTTTAATGCCCCGGAGGAGTACCTGCATGGTCCACTTTGTGAGGATTGTGTGGGGGAGTGGGGGCCTGTGTCCAACGAAACAAGAAGTAGGTCAAACTTTCCGCAGTATTGTCAACCAGCATCCACATCTATGTCTCACTGTCTCACAGACGGTCAGGCCGCACTCTCACGACACCACTACGCCAAGTTGAGGCCACGGCTTGCCCTTGTCAGTTTTCCTGGCACTAGATTGAAGGCAACCAGAACTCAGCAGCCTGAATGAACAAGCCAACTACTTCAACACGCAATTTTCCAATCTTTCCCCAAGACATCATGACACCCAAGCGTGCAAGCTGGGCCCAACCTTGAAGTCAACATGACGGAACCTGGAAGAAGAGAAAAAGCAGCCACGAATCCGTCATGGATTACTGGTGACTCGCTGGCCTTTCTTCTAAGGCGTCAAGAGACCATCTGCTAGAAGCTGGCCAAGATGAGCACGCATCCTCATGAGTTCTTGGTGTTCTCATGCACATATCTTTATCTCCGGATTCGGTTTCGGAACCTCGATGATCACGGGTCGAGACTTGGCCGCAAACTCCTGCAGCATGATGTCACACCGTTGGCCCGTGTGGTGCAACCACATGAATTCGGCACAAGTCAGAATGTGCGAGATCGCCTTGCGCAGCGGCGAGCTGAAGATAGAGAACCATGTCATGAGCCCATCATATCTCCTTCAAGAACTCTTCAGCGGAAAGTTCGCCACGTTTGACCTCGCACAATCTGTGCGACAAAGTGGCGTCCACAATATTCTACAACGAAATCGAGGCACAACAGTTCTAGGCCAGCAGCACGTGGAATGGGCAACGTTTGAGCATCATACTTGATTTCGCGATGAAGCACCTGCCGCCGAAAAGGAGCAAGACGATAACCGAGGTTGACGATAACCAAGGTTCAGTGATTTTGACCCCACCTCGTCTCTGTCCGCGTAGCCAAACTTGTTCCATTCACTCCTGGACTTACAAACCATCGTGTCAAACTTAAGTTTGCCAAGTGTGCACTGCCTGAGGCATCGGCGGTTTGATGTCTGTGCGCTGACCGCGTCTACAGCGGTGGATTTCTGCAGCAGTTCTTCTATGTCGAAACCTGTCGTTGCGACAACGATGTAATGTTATGCACATGTTCACGGCGACGAGTACAGCAAAAACCAGGCCAAGCAGCTCGCATCCATGCACGGCCTTCCATTCTTCGAATGTTCCGGCTGTCATCTCAATATAGATAATCCCACTTATGAACACAACGTACAAGTTCAGCTCGTGTACGTTGGAAATATTGGCCTTCGCCCGCGTCTAGAATTAAACAGATCGTCAACACTGCCCCAGCTCATGAACCCAAAAAGTTCCGGAGGCACATGACAAGTAGCCCAAACGACTGAGTCACCAAGCCGACGATGATCCAAGCAGTCGAGAAGGAAAGCTGATCCCAGAACTTTGCCATCGCAACATGTCCAAATTACGCAGGAACCAGAGCGTATGCCGGGAGCAAATGGGTATGTAGATTGGTAGGTAAACAGATAGACAGACGATGTAGGTAGATTGTGCGTAGGTACACAGACACCTAGATCTAGATGGATAGATAGATAGATACACAAATAGACAGCTGGATAGATAGATAGATAGATAGATAGATAGATGCATAGATAGATAGAGAATAGATAGATACATAGATAATTAGATACAGTAGATAGATAGATAAACTCAGATAAACACATAGTTACATTCAGATAGAAAGATAACTAAATGGATAAACAAACAGATGGCTAGATAGATATTCAAATAGATAGATAGATTCAGATAAATGGATAGATAGACAGATAGATAGATTCAGAAAGATAGATAGATAGATAGATTCAGGTAAATAAATAAATAAATAAATTCAAATAGATAAATAAATAAATAGATAGATAAATAGATTCAGATAGATAGATAAATAGATTCAGATAGATAGATTGATTGATTGAATGTTTGACTGGCTGATAGAATCAGATAACATCAAATAGAAAAAACTGATAGATAGACAAATAGACAGATAGGCAGATAGGTAGATGAATGGATACATAAATACATAAATTGATTGACTGATGGATTGGTTGTCTGAGTGACCGATTGGTTGAGGGAAACAGAAAAATAGATAAATAAATGGATACGTACATGGTTACATATTCAAGACACATAGATGGATAGATAGGTTGGAGAAAGACGGTGTGTGGGTATAGTATAGGCAGTGTTGCTGACGAGGGGGGGGGCAAAATGTTACAAGGGCGGGTAGCGCGGAGGTTGCTGACAGTCGTTTTTTTGGAGGTCCTTCACCTGACGGGCCGTGCCCGGGAGCAGAAGGGTAGGTAAACTGGTGGGTACATAGACAAATAGATATATAGACAAAAAGATAAAAAGATAGATAGATAGATGAATAGATAGATAGACAGATACACAGATTCAGATAGATAGATACATAGATAGATAGATAAATAAAAAGGTAGATAGATAGATCTGGCGGTGTTCGGTGGCGTGGCCGTGGGCGTACCACGAGATGCTGAAACTTTTACAAGAAATGGTTGGGAAACCCCAAACACTAAAAAGGGATGTTGTTTCACCGAAAGCCGGCAAGGAAGCTGCTATTCACAAACCCCAAGCCCTAAATGAAGCTGCTGAAACCCGAAACGAAACGAATGGTTGGGACACCCCAAACCTTAAAAGGAGATGTTGGCTGACCCAAAGCCGGCAAAGAAGCTGCTATTCACAAACCCCAAGCCCTAAAAAGAGCTTCGCACTTTCCTTTTGCCACTGCACTTTGAAGTCTTCCGTTGGCTGTCTGCTGGAAACGTCTCATGAGAAACGATCGGGGATACACATCCGAATCATCAGCATCCAGACCCAAGTGCTAAAGCTTTCCCGTCCGTCCCACTTATAAGTAAGCCAACGAATGGCCGCTAGCCGGCAGAGAAGAGACCATACCAGGAGGCAGTCGGTACACCGAGCCTTTTCCATTCCACTACCTGTTCCAGAGTCGCCGTAAAGGCGTGCGCTAGGTTGAGAACCTGCTCGCGTGTCTCGAGGGGCAGGGAGGGGAGGAAGGTGCACGCCATGACCTCCTGAATGTAAATCTCCATCACACGATGCGAGGCCCATCTGCCTCGCCTCCGAACCAGCTCACTGTTCTCCGTCATGGAGAGGAGGTGGGTCGCCCCGCCTGGCCTGAAAGAACCGAGGTCCAGCTGTCGGCCACTGCGCGCAACGGAGCTGACACCCATCCTTTCCAGAACTAAGTCGAAGCGCCTGCGGAGCGTTTGCGTGCAGCGGGGCCACAGTTTCTCGGCAGGGGGCAGGTCACCAAAAGCCGTCGCTATGAGCAGGACGAGGTCGGCCTGCTCTACTTTTGCAGCCTGATGCCTCGCCATACGCATCCTTGTCTTGGGCTCCTCGATCCGGGCCAGGATATAGTTCTGCGAGAGCAGGACGTCCTGAGGCAAAATCAGGTTTGCCCTAACCAGTAGGTTGCCTCCCCGACCCTGAGGAGACCTCCCCATGCAAGAGCGAAGAGGCCCGCTTCCGCAAGCCAGCCCCAGCAGAGGCACGTAGTCAACATCCCCAGGAGGACGACTGCAGGCATGGCCACATGGTGGGTCGAGGGCTCCAGGGCCATCCAGGAAAACGCTAAGTCCCACGAGGCTTGCATGCAGCGTTTGAGGATGGGCTTGCGAGCCGTAATGCCGTTGATAAGCTCAGAGTAGTGCCAATAAGGACGCCCACTTTCGAAGAGCATGCGGCCGTAGCACACGACCCAAGCGTTGACTGTCTCCGGGGAGGCTTTGGAGCTGTCCAGGAGGTCCTCGAGTAGCACACCACCTGCTGCTAGCCACGAACAAAAGAGCGCGAGCAGGTGTGCCCGGTTCCGGGATGTCCTCTCCAGTACAGGCCTGCCCTGAGCAAGCTGGGTGCCTGCGCGAGCCTTGGCCCTCGCTCCGTCTCTCTGATTGCGCGGTTCCAGCGGCGGGGCCTCTGGGAGGGCCCTCACCCGAGCGTACTGTCGAAAGCCTCACGCTCAGGGGAGCCAGCCCTTTCAGAGCACGGGGGGGCTCTTCCAGCTTCATCCCTGAACTTTTGGGTCAGGGCCTTATAAGGAAGGGAACGCCACCCGAGCCCGAGTCAAGGCAACTCAGGAGCAGGGCAAGGCGGAGCCAGTTTGCAGAAGGGCGCGAGAGGCCGCCAAGGCAAGAAAGTCCATACAATGAGCGGTCGGGGAAAAAACCCGCGAGGTGATGAGGAACAGGAGGAGGCAAGGGACGGGACCTTGTTGGACAATCCGAGATGTTCAATCTGGTTGGGCAAAAGTGGGGCCCGGGATAGAGCCCGTACCCGACCTGAAGGGCGGCAGACTTCATGACGATGGGGCGGAGAAGGCGGGAGCTTGTCCTGCCCTTCAGCACAGCACCTAGCACGACATTTGAGTCCAGGCCGTGAACAAACCTCTGATCGTCAGCCTCCAGGGCTCGAAGACGAAGTGCTCGAAGATATGCGCGGCCTTTCAGGACGTTTATGTGAGTCCGGTCCCGCCAGGGCCACGACGACTCAGTGATCCAGGGGCGAGAGACCATGACATCGTTGAGAAGCACGCTCTCGAGTCCAGACTGAGGGGGAGCTGGCGGAACACACCGGAGCAGCCCGCGAAAACACTGGGCCACGGAGGAGGCGGAAGCAGGCTTGCCACTCGCCGCTAGCGTCTTGAAAGGCGCTGGCCCAGCACAGGCGGCCGGGGAAGGAGGGCGACGACTGGGCAGCCGGGAGCCAAGAACACAGCACAGCCCGCAAGGACGACCTCCTGGCAGCCATGCTTTGCGACCAGTCCAGTCCACTGCGGCAGAGAGCGGGCCTCTGAGAGCGCCGGGTGCAGGAGGGCCGCCGGGACCGCACAACGACACGCAACAAGTAGAATGGCGAGAGCTGAGCCGAGGACTTTACGACCCTTTCCGTTAGCACTCGCGTCGGGCCGCCTCGTGCGATGAGCCTTGCAGGCGGGAGAGAAGAGGCCAACCGGGGGAGCGACAAGGAGGGATCGAAGCCGACGGTTCTGCAGGAGCCAGAGAATCCATTCGAGGCAAGGCGCATCAACTATGCGAAAGAAGGGGGAGGCCTGGGCATCAATCCTCGAACCCAAAGCAAGGTCAGAGAGGAAAGGGGAAGCCCAAGCCCCTCCACTGCGGACCTCAAGGAAGTCGTAGTTAGTTGTTTGCCTGGGGCCTCGAACCACTGGCCTCCTCCGGCGGGGCTGCACCTCCTCGAGGGGAAGTGCTTGGTAGGCGGGCACCTCGGGACTTGGCTCAGCACGGTCAAGCTTGGTGTACCAACCCTTCTGGCCGGCCGTTTGCCAGGGGTGCTCGGCGACTTGTGGGCTCACAGTGGTGCTGCAGACGGCGCCACGGGCAAGAGAGGCATCGGAGCAACCGACCTTACAGCTCATAGGGGCTGCGACGTTTGATACCATCACCGGGGCCAGCACAGACAGGAGCACAAGGTCTTGCCGAGCCGCCGGGCCCAGCGGCTGCAAGTGGCTACCCCCGGGCTCAGCAGTTTTCTTGCCAACAGAGAAGGGGGGCCCTATGGCAGCCATGAGGCATCGCCTGTAAAGAAGGGCAGTCACCCAGCAGCCGGCCAGGATAGAACCCAGCTCTTCGCTTATGCGGCGCCCCGCTGCGACGGCGAGGGAGGCGTGGGAAAGCGCCAGGCGGCGGTGAGCCGGCAGCCCCACCAACACACATCCACCTGGACTGTGGGAGCCGAAGAATCGATCTGGGCACCCGTCACCGTGAACACCCGTTGGGAGAAAATGTCCTTGGAGTCGGACCCCTCGACGCTCTCCTGCAGATAAGCGGTCTTAGCCTGGCGCAGGCGGCGCTCACTTTGGGAGACAAAGGGCTCAGGGCCGTCAGAGCCATTGGCTTTGCTGGATATACAGTAAAGATCGTCTATGACGAGCCCCGTCCAGGGGCCGACGGTGCTGACCGGGCACCGGTTGAGGAGGCGCCCGTCGGGAGGGTCTCCTAAAACTCCGGCGGCCCGGAACAGGCAAACTCAACCCCGGCGTGATCGCCCTGAAAGAGGCTCTTGAAGGCCCCATGCACCCGGTACTCGGAGGAGCAAAGGACGGCTGATGGCCTGAGGGAGCCTGGCGGTTTGCAGGAGCTGAGGTAGGCCTGGTCAGCGGCAGCAAGGAAGTCACTGAAGGCCTGGGTGTCGAGGAAATCCTTTTAACCGAGACCGGCCACAGCATTCGCGGCGGTGGGGCAGGTCAGCCGAACAAGCTGTAACCAGTCGGGAGCCTCCTCGAAGGCCCGTCTGCGACTCGGGCCTCGCGGTTGTTCATGTGCCTTCGGTCGCCGATTTGGCGGTCTCGCTCGGGTAGGACCCGAACACTCGAGTGAGAGTGGTCTCCGCGAGGGGCCCCGGGACGATGTGCAAAAGCCCAAGTTCGTCCCACTTGCGGAAAAGTCCCAGCACATTGGCGCCCTTTTCGTGAAGGAAGGAGGGGCCGGAGCAGAGCGGGGATAAAGGTCCGAAGGGCCCTGGGCTCAAGGAAGTGCAGCAGAAGTCCAGGGTCGAGGTGCTCGGAGATGTTCCAGTTACCCTTTCCCGACAGGCCCACGCGGCTAAAATCCAAGTGGTAGGGGCGCAGCTCCTCGGGTCCACCGGGCAGGTGGGGCACAAAAGTTGCATCGTGATGGGGAAAGAGCAAGGACCTCGGCGTGCCTGGCGGCAAGCGTGAGTCCCTTCCGCCCAGGCTGCAGCTCGGATCCGCCAAGCTGGGCGCACACCTTCACAAGCTCCCTAAGTCGACAGAGCGCGGAAGACTGAACTGTCGAAGGGGGCCTCCGCAAAGCTTCGGGTGGGACGGGCTTCCCCTCCGAGTGAAGGAAGTTCAGCGCCAACACCACAACGAAAAGAACCACACTCACGTGCTGAGACAAGGTGCGGCGACGTTTGCAGGACCGGCCGCCTCCAACAGAGGAAGGCAAGGGCAGGGGATAGAGGGCGGTAGCGACAGGCAGGGAGCTGTCGCGGTGCAGCGGCAAAGCTGTAGACACGAAACGGGCAAAGCAGGAGCCAGACTTAAGCACCCGCCTCACCAAAGAGGAGGCCCAAAGCCTGAAACTAAATTCGGCACCCGGCCTAAGACTAGACTAGAGCCCTCAACCGGATGCTGCCCATGCACTGGTGTGTCCTCCGTCAGGGAGGTTTGGCCGCATTGGCCCGCTTCGCAGCCCAAGCCGCCGCTCTTTGTTGTTTCTTCGAAAGGGCACCCCCCTCGGTCGGGGGCTTCGGCGGAGGATCGGGCTTGCCGTGGGCTTCTTGGGAGCCCCTCCTTCGCTTCGCCTCTGGCCTATGGCCTCTACTTCTTTGAGGAACGGATCCGGCTGCAAGCTGAGGGGCCAAGCAAGGGTCATGTCTCCATGTCCATGGTCGATGTTGGCCTGGTCGATGGTCATCTGAAGGAGGGCGAGCAGGTCGGCACATGTCTCGGTGGACCCGCGGTCCAAATGATCTGCAGCTTGGGCAGTCATTCAGGCGAGGAGGCCTAAGGTCCTTTGCCTTCCATACCCTCCGTACCTCTCGAGGTATCGCACCATGGCGGCGTAGTCCGCTTCGTCGGGTTCATGCGCTGGGCCGCGTTCTGCCACACCCGCCGCGAAAAGAAGCCCGGGACGCAACGAGTTCCTGTTGCAGCTTCTGGCGGCCAAGCGCCGCCCCTGCAGTGGAGGGAGCGTCCAGCATGGGCTCGGAGGCTCCCTGTGCAAGCTGGGCCAGAACCGCTGCGGCTAAGGAGTCCGAGGGCTGAGCTGCACCGCCGTCGCCTCCTCCAGTGATAAGAGCAAGCTGGGACTCGTGGTCGACGGTCGATGAGGGGCGACGGAAGCTTCGGCCCAGCACGGTTGCAGGAGGCGGCCCCACCAGCTAGCACCGACGCAAGCGGAGCCGCTAGTTCAGGTACAGCGGCGCCGGGCAAGGGGCCTAGGCCTGGGGGGGCTCCTGCGACGGGGCCCTGAGCCAGGGTGTTGCTGCCCGCCGTAGGGGAAGAAGCACAGCTAGCTGTTTCACAAGGCCTTGCACGACTGAAGGCCTGCTTGGTCCTGGGCCAGGGTGGCGACGGTAACTCTTTTTGCTTTGGCCTTGGGCCGTTGGGCAGGGAGAGGGTCCTCCGCGGCTAAGCTGACCTTGCCTCGCGCAGACCTTCAGCGCCCAGCTCCGGGCTTGCATTGCAGCGCCTTCGGAAGCCAACGGGAAGAGCGGGTCTCCGTGAAGGGGACGCCGCTGAAGAAGAGAGGTCTGGGACCGACAGGGCAGCAGTCAGCCCGGCCGGTAGGTCGACGACCAGGGCTCCCACGACCTTGTCGGCCTCTGTATTCGCCTGTGGGGGTGAGCCTCACAGCCTGCGCCTCCAACTCGAGCGAGGGCCCAATCCCATCCGGGGAGTCGTTGGTGAGGCCGTCCTGCAGGACATCGGCCGGCAAGTAGCCCACGAAAAGGCAGAGAATTGAATAAAGCCCTCGCTTCGCTTCATCACGGCATAGGCCACGCATGTCTCCGGGTCTTCGGTGCCACCAGCCAGGTAAACTCCAGAAGGCTGACCTGACCGGCTTCCACAACAGGCAGAGAGGGGAGGTCCAATAGGCCTCCGGGTATGCCAGGCCCGCGCCTGCGAAGTACAACCTCGCCTCCTTCTGTGACGGGAAGCCATGGGAGAGAGAGCCTCCCCGGCGGAGCTCGCCCACAGTTGACTTGTAGGCCGCAAAGCTGTGCACAACGACAGGGTCCGAAAGACCAGGTGAGGCGACGATGCAGTAGAGCCGGTTGCTCAGCCCGACTGGCTCAGAAGCGTTTGGGGTCTGGGCCCTAGACTCTAAGACTGCCTTAGCCCAGCAGCCGGCCTTCCAGGCTCGCTGAGCACGCCCTTGCCAAGTTAGCGAGCCTCCTCGGAGCACACGGCAAGTGTCACGAAGGGCAGGGGTCGAAGGAATCTCCGACGACTCCGCACGGTGCTCAGTCAGAGCACGAACTGGCCCGGAGGCCTGCAAGGGGGTAAAAGAGGAAGGCGGTGAGGAGAGCCGAGACCTAACCTGAGGCCTGGAAGGAGGAGGGCGGTTAGGCGACAAGTCCAAAGAGGACGGCTGGGGCCCGGAGGCCGGCAAGGGGTAAGGGACGCGGGCCGGAGGCGAAGTGTAAGCACGGGAATCCGGGCAGGAGTCCACAAGCTCAAAGGAGGAAGTCGAGCTCTCCAATGAGCGATGCACACAGGGCTCGGGGGCGTTGGGCTCGGGTTCGGGGCCTAGCCTAGAAACCGAAATCCGGAAACCACTGACCTCAATGTGCAGTTCCCTGTCCATGCGCGTACTCAGCCAGCCTCCGTCTCGCTCCTGTAGAAAGGGAGCGCGTCACCTGCGGCACCTGAACAGCAAGAGGAGGCTCGGTGCCGCGAGCCAGTCCAACCTTCCAAAGCCAGAGGACCAAAGCCGTAAGTATGCCCAAAAGGTAAGCAGCTAGAAGGCTACCCAGCCCTGGGCCACGGCAGTGCGAAGGGCAGCCTAAGCCCCACCAATTGCTC